AAGAAAAGGATGCTGGCAATTACGGCAGAGACCAGGAACTCACGCTTTCCTCCTGGGGGGACGTGGGTCCCTGCACCCGAGCAGTAACGTAGCTGGACGGCCCAGAGGCAGAGGATGAGGTGACTGCTGTAGGTTCTGGAACAAGCTTGCGGCCTCTCTGGCATGGGCCAGATTTCATAACATCCGTTTACTATCTCCCCTGCACATCTCTCCAGGCCCCACTGTGTATGTACTTTCCTCTATCACCCCCTTAACGTATTTATATAAGGACACGTTCTAACAAATGTGCCATGCATTCAGATTCCCTTTCACTAGCTGAGGAATTCAAGGAGTTAAACTTCATTGGAGTGAGCAGTCTTGACCCAGAGATGCAGAGAGCAGAGTATGAGGACACTCCTGCTTTGTGACAGTTAAGTTTTATTGCTCCTAACCTAGTGCTTTGATGCCACTAGTAAGTATTCTTCCAGACCAGCTTTCTGCCCGCCGCTTGGGTCCCTGGTCAGGCTCCTCCGGCTACATTAACATAGCCAATAAAGTCCTGTCTGTAAAAACAGCAGCAAATAAAAATTGCTTGTGAAGGATCCCAGGCCACTGAGTGAAAAACAGTTTAAGTGCTCAAAGGAAACTTGAAGCAGCTTTGGATGAGCTTCTGAACAGCTCAAGTGCAAGCTGTCAGGAAAGGCTAGCGGGTCAAGCCAGCTTTCCCAAGAACAGCCTTGTCCTCTGAGGGTCAAACATCATTCATTACCGCCAAACTTCAGCAACTAATTCAGGGCTGGGATTTGCTCCACTTCTTAAGAGTTAAAGGTCAGCTGTGATGCAGGAAGGTTATTTGTCCATCACTATCTTCCCCTTTACAGGCACAGGGTAACACCATAAAGTTTCTCTAAACTGTGCACAGTACCAAATTCTACTGTGGATATGCTGACAGATGGCCAAGTTATACCTAAGGCGAAAACGTCAAATTCAGGATCAGACTCCAGGTGCACACGAAGCAAATACTGCAATATTACAGAAAATCCCTAGTTGGTTGGGAAAAACGAGGTTCTTGGCTGTGAGGACCTTGCCTGGTCTATCTTAGAGAGCCACCAGCTAACGGGACTAGAAGGAAACAGCCATCGCGGAGAGCAAGGTGGGTCAGTGGCACGCTGGTCCTAGTCATTCTGCTTCCAAACTGGACACACGTTCACCCCGGATCACCTCATCCTGCCACGCCCATTTCTCTGAGGTACTGGGTTTCCATTTTGGACCCTGTTTTCCTCTTTTAGTGCTCTCAAAGGATGGCAATCAGGCTGACTGGTTGTGTTTGCCAACAGTTACCTCTACTCCATCTGGGAGAAGACATGGTGGTGAGTGACTTAAACGGCCCTCTTAGTTTTTATTTAACAAACCTTTATATATATATATATATACACACACATACATCCATATATATACATATACATGTATGTGTGTATATATATATGGATGTATGTGTATATATATGTATATATGTGTGTATATATATGTGTGTGTGTGTAGGTATGTGTATGTATGTATGTATGTATACATATATATATATATATATATATGTATACATACATACATATAGCACTTACAGTGTGGCAGGCATTCTTCCAGAAACTTCATCACTGCTAACTCACTTAATCCTTATAAATCAAGGGTTAATCAAGTATAATCAAGTATGAAAGTGGCACACACTACTTTGATGCAACAGAGTTAGGAGACTTTTTCTTTTTTCCCAGGCTCAACGAAGATGCCCTTCCCAACATCCCCTGCCTGGGCATGCTGAGTTTAAAGACCAGTGAGTGGGGAGGGACTCCCGGGTGGCTCACTAGGTTAAGTGTCCCATTCTTGATCTCAGCTTAGGTCCTGATCCAATAGCTTGTGAGATTGGGCTCTGTGCCGACAGTGCAGAGCCTGGTCAGGACTCTCTCCCTCTCTTTCTCTGTCCCTTCCCCCCAGCAAAATAAATAAATAAACTTTAAAAAAAGACTAGCGGGGAGGGAGCAGGCACATTTTGCACAGAGATCATGAAATCTCCCCTCCAAAAGGAATAAAAATCCTATCACGGTTTGCCACTATCTACTGCAGCAGGACATACGCGCAGGCTATGTACCCAACAGAAACGTGCCATAATGTACAAAAGTCATGCACAATATTCACAGCAGCACTGCTGTTAGCACCCCAAACTGAAAACAAGCTAAAGGTTTATCAGCAATAAAAACAGATAACTCAGTCGTGGTATATCCACACAACGGATTACTCTCCCGCAACAAGAATCAACAAGCTGAGCACACATCCAACCACACGGGTGAATGTCACAAACATGATGCCGAGTGAAGGCAACAGACACAATGGAACACACACTGTGTCATTCCATTTATATGAAGTTCAAGGACAGGAAAAATTGATCTACACTGGCAGATGTTACAACAGTGGTTGCTAATGACGGGGTGGGAATTGCCTGTGAAGGAACACAAAGGAACTTCCAGAGGGAATGGAAATGTTTTCTATTTTGATAAGGGTGTTGTATACAGTGGATGTCTATTTATCAAAATCCATCCAGCTGTACACTTAAGATCTATGCATTTCATGGGGCACCTGGGTGGCTCAGTGGGTTAAGCGTATGACTTCGGCTCAGGTCATGGTCTCACGGTTCGTGGGTTCGAGCCCCGCGTCGGGCTCTGTGCTGACAGCTAGCTCAGAGCCTGGAGCCTGTTTCAGATTCTGTATCTCCCTCTCTCTCTGACCCTCCCCTGCTCATTCTGTCTCTCTCTTAGAAATAAATAAAAAACATTAAAAAATTTTTTTAAAAAGATCTATGCATTTCACTACATGTACATTGTACTTCAACAGAAACGAGAGATGTGATGTCACATGGCTTCTAAGACTCCTGAGGCCATGGGCTTCCAAACACATGTGCTGTCCTGTAGATGCTGCGAGTGTCAAACCCAGTGTGTAGCCTAATCCAGCTGCTGAAGCCAAGCCAAGACTGAGAAACCAGACACAGGAGTCCTCTAACCCATGTCACCTCCTATACTCACTATATTCATTCCCCGTGGAAGATGTTGGCCACGGAAGGTTGCGGAGGAGGTGCCAAAACTCTTTGGCTCTCAGGCTGAATGTGAATACCCTCCCAAAGGTTTCTGCTTTATAACTCATTATGACCGATTTCTGGTGCCAGCAGAAGGCAGGTGCAGCAGTAAGCAGAGCTGGGCATGGCTCTCACCATATGCACCCAATGCGGCTCCCCTTCCTTTATCTTCCCCAGGCAAGAAGGGAGACGGCAGGACTAAGACATTTAGGCATCTAGAATTTTGGAGGGTTGAATCTGGCAAACTCACAGTTAATCCTCCAAACCCAGAGTAGCCAAGTTTGAATGAGCACATGGCTGACCAGGTAGAGACTACATTTCCCACCTGCCCTTAGGGCTACATGGACTCATGTGACGATGCCCTCACCAGTGGAATGTGAGTAGGAGTGTCGTGTACAAACTCTACTTGCTTTAAAGGAAACTCTCCTGACCTTCCACTCCTTCCCTCTTTGCACAGGCTCGAACACAGAGGAGCAACGACCTGTCTTCAAGCAGAAGACGACAACACTTCTGCCAACTTAAGAGCTACAAAATGGTCTGAAACCAGGTCTCTGCACAATTCCTGGAGCAGCGCCATGCCACCAGCCTGGCCCACGCACCGCTAGACTACTACGTGAAAAGAAACTGTGATCTTACTTCAGTCCTTTTTTTTACTGGGGTGTCTTTGTTACCGCATCTGAACTAACAACCCCCGCGCACAAGCTTTGGAAGCTCGCGTGGTCTCCAGGCAGGAGTTTCCAAGTCTTGCATACTCTATGTGGCTCAGTGATTTGTATTCCCAGGTTCTGATTATACGAGTACATGACAACAGCACCTACTTTCCCATCATACGACGTCATCCTGTTGCTTAAACTAGTCCCTGACCATCTACAAGCTGCCATCAACTCCTTGATCATGTGTACAAGGGCCTCTGTGGACGCAGGCCCACCCTCCACACTCAGCCTCACGGCATGTGCCTGCTTCACGTGTGTCCTGTGTTAGAGGCACCCTGGGCCCTCCCTGAGGGCACACCGCACATGACGAACACTAAGTTCCCACTTCTGTCCTGGCCCAACAGAATGGCCTTTTCCCCACCCCCATCCCACACTCTCTTCTGCCCACAAGGTTATTCTTACTACAAATTCCAAACCCAGCCCCCAAGAACCCAGGGGAGCTTCTTAAAAACCTCCAAGCAGGGGGCACCTGGGTGGCTCAGTCGGTTAAGCATCCGACTCTTGATTTCAGTTCAGGTCACGATCTCATGGTCTTATGATCAAGCTTCATGCTGGGCTCTGCACTGGGCATGGAGCCTACCAGAGATATTCTCTCTCTCTCTCTCTCTCTCTCTCTCTCTCTCTCTCTCTCTCTCTCTCTCTCCCTTGCCCACTCTGCCCAACCCAACCCCCTGCTGCCTTTCTCGTGCTCACTCTCTCTCAAAAAGAAAAAGAAAAACCTCCAAGGAGAATAACCTCGGCCCTCTGGTATGCTTCCACAGCATTTCGGGCAAACCTTCATTAAGACATTTATTACTCTGAGCTGTTGGGGCTTAATTTACACGTCTGATCTCACAGCTAGAACACAGGCTCCAAAGACAAAATCCCTGAAGACCGAGACCATACGCCTTGCCCATTTTCATAACCTTGGCATTTAGCACATGATCCGGCTCAGACTCAGTGAGAGGTGAATCAAAGAAAAATTGGGGGCATCTGGGTGGCTCCATCAGTTAAGCATCCAACTCCTGGTATCAGCTCGGTCATGATCTCATGGTTCGTGGGTTTGAGCCCTGCATCAGGCTCTGTGCTGACAGCGCAGAGGCTGCTTACAAGTCTCTCCCCCTCCCTCTAAAATAAATAAATAAACATTAAGAAAAAGAACTGAACAAGAAGCCGGTTTCAAAATTCTATACGTACACTATTACTCTTACCTGTTCAGTGCAAATGCATAATGGAATTTAATGTTATGCTGATCAGCCAAGTCACACGTAGGCAGCATTTTTAGTGTTTCTACCAGCTTCACCATAGCATCATAGTCCTGTTGGCAAGAGGGCTCACGGTGAGAAAGAGACGGAATACACAGCTCTTCGCAGATTTTTCTGAACAGTTATAAACATGACTGCCTCAGCATTTAAATACCAGCTTTCCCCTACACACAGCATTTAGTGAAGTTACTTACAGCCCATAAGAGAACAGGAATAAGATTTTTTTTTTTCAAACCCAAAATGGATGAGAGAAGAGACAGACAAAAAAATCTCTGCTACCAGAGGCCACAAAAAGATCAAGGGAAAGAAGTGTAAAGGCAACAGAAGCAAGCAAATGAGTCCAGCAGCCCCCCAAAAAGCTACCACGCTTTGAGTGCAGGAGAGTTAACACTAAGGGCACAGCTGTGGGGTAAGATGAGCAAGATAGAAATATACACGCAACCTTATGGTCACTTACTGTGTTAGGAGAGGAAACATGCGAGGTCCTTCCTATTTTGCCAGAAATAAGTGAATTCGTCTAAACCAGGGTTTCTCAACCTCGGCACTATCGACATTTGCGGGGCTGTCCTGTGCATTCTGGAATGTTATACAGCACCCACGGCCTCGACCCATAAGATGTCAGCAGCACCTCTCCCTACCCTCCAAGTTGTGAGAGCCAAAAATGTCTCCAGACACTGTCACATGTTCCCCTCGTTGAGAACCAAAGCTCTAAACTGCATAATTACCCAGGGGAAAATTGCTACTGTGTTTGTCTCGGCTGGGTCCCCTCTGAGCAATGCCATCTGCTACCCTTTCAGCCAGGCTTCGAATGCCGGTTACTGGCCAACTTGCTGACAGCCAGCTGCAGTCAGCTGAAGAGGACTTCCCACTGAAATCCCACGCCTGTTGTGTGGCTCTGCACCTTGAGGCTGCTGCTCGAGAGGAGGAGGCAGTGTATTCCAAGAAGCTTCCGGCTTACCTGTGAGCGTGAGAGTCCTACCAATGGAAGGTTATAAAAAGAAGAGATGTGTGAAGGCAAGGACAGAAGGAAGCCAGCAGCTCAATGGAATAAAGACTTCAAACAGGTCACTCCCATTCTCTTGTCCCCAAGGCCATGATCTAATCATTGTCAAGATCCCTAATAGCACCCGCTATTAAAGTCCATCAGATGCACCTGTTTATCGCCAGGGCCGGCGTTCTTAGTGGTTGACCCTTCTTTGTCTGGGTCATAAATGGACACCTCTCCTGTTTAGATTTAAAGACCTGTTGTCAACAACCCCAATTCGGCTTTGTAGAGTTCTGCAGGGAAGACACACTACCCAGTGTCCCCCACAGGGAAGGGAGTCAAGACATCCTTACAAATGGCTCAAAAGCACTGAACTTGGAGGGAGCAAACCACTTCCTTCATGGTACCGCACCCCACGAACTCTTTCTCAAGGACTCTCCACAAGTCTCTGGTGCTTGTTTCAGAATAAATATCTGCATTCCCTGGGTTCTGGATGTGCCTTGGCTACTCCCGCTCTGTCACTAATGGGTGGTGGGAAACAAAGAAGGAAGTGACAAAGGTCTAAAGAGAGAGGCACAGCGGAGGAGTTAAGAGCAAGGACAAGGGAGCCGGCTGCCTCTGTATGACTCGTGACGTTGCCAACTGCTGTGTGACTCTTGGACCACCTACTTAACTTCTCTGTGCCTCCTATTTCCTCATTTGTAAAATGGGGATAATCAGAGTATACATCCCATGAACGTGTGAAGAGAATCAAACGAATTAGTATTTGCCAAGAGCTGGAAGCAGTGCCTGGCATAAAGGGCATCGAAAATGTGAAACTCTACGCTCCTTTCATTAAGCAGTCCTCTGTACGAGATTCTGCTGGAGTGCCCATCTGGACCCACAAAACCTCCAATGTTATGACCACAACAGATATACTAGGTGACCTATGACCTAGCCACGTAACTGTTTAGTCTACAAAACAGATACCTAACCATACACCTGGTAGAGGCGTACTTCATATGAGGAATTGATTCCTTATGCCAAAGGAGAACTCTGTTCACACTCTCTGCCACTAAAAGTACTCACCTGGATGTCACGGTAAGACAGCAGTAAATTAATGATGATGTCTGGGGTCAGAACCTCGGTGTTGTCCATGCGGAGCTTGATCCGAGCCAGCTCCTTGGCCAGCTCATCACCCTGGTATTTCTCTCGGGCTCTCCGGATGTCGTTTAACAAGGTTTCTTTGTAGTAAGCACTGGAGAGGGAAATACACGCATCTGGGACTCCGCTTTCTTCAGTAGCTCACACTAGGTCCTCGTAGCCACGAGTGAGGTTAACACATGGTGGCCTCGACCCGGACCTAAGCCTCCCTGCACCAGCAGAGACAAGAGACCTGCCCCGCTTGCAAGTCCCATCCTGTATCAACTAACCACTCGACATCAACAAAGAAATTCAGTTCATTAGGACCTTGAAAGTGTTTTCAAAGGTGACCCCCATCTGTATTTGGATGACGCCCGGGACTTGCTACCCACCCCGCTCCTCTGACATTTTCAAAGACAAAGAGAGCAAGAGGTTGTCTTACTTGAATCATTATTTCCCCCACTATTCACGCATTATAACAAAGCTAAATACAACTCCAAAAGCCACGAACCACAGTACAATGCGAAGGTCTTTCCAATCAATCTATCAGGTATCCCCCACCTAATAATTCCAAAACTTTTTCCAGTTGGCCAAGGGTTGGAAACTGGATGTGCCCATGAGCAATCCAAGAAGCTGTGCCTGGCAGGTTATGAGCAACCTCTGCCTTTCACTCCCCTGATCACTTGCAACTGCCAGAATGCTCTTCTAACGTGCAGCTCAAATTCCTTCACGGCGGGATCAACAGACAATAGAGATGTGTGTCAGCATCGAAAGCAGGTCAAATCCACACTGGAATCTCTCACCGCAGCCTCTCAAAGAACCAATGCCTATACCTGGTACTTGGTTTAAAACCTTTAAAAATGATCCAATTTGATGTATAGAGGCCAACTTCCAATGACCGTAGATTTAAATATGTTGTTGACTTTCCAAGTAATGTTTTCATGGAGGCTGGGCACAGCCAGTAAGTGGCTGAGATGATTTCACCATAGAAAAACTAGGCTGTTCATTATAAGAAGGAGCAGGCTCAATAAAACAGTCTTCAGAGAAAGAGACTCACAATACCTAAGAACAAGGATTACTTTTTTTAAATAATTATAAAAGTACGCCAAATAAACATGAATACAGTACACGGCCTAGTCCAATGCTTATAACAAGACCTCGATTAACATTTCAAGAATGAAGTGATGCCCCACAGAAAATGATCAGGGCATTCCTTTTTCTTTTGTCTGTTGCTTATCATCCCAATGAGCAAATTAGCAGAGTCACCAGTGTTTAAAATTCTGTCATTAATCTAATGACTCATTAAGCTAGGTGACAGCCACTGTCCATTTGGCAGACTATAAAGGCATCAATGATATTAAAGTCTTATTAGTTTCCCCTGACAAGTACGAAGTTATACTTCAGTCTTGTTTTCAAGGCTAATTCTGAAAACTAGTTTTAATAAACTAAGAAACCTCAGAGGAGCCATACCCTGTAGGTAAATAAAACACTGAATTGGGTACGGCCTGGGGACCTCACCTATGTAATACACACGCAGCCATTTCTGCCCGTGGTCAGGAGTGAAGATGCTGCTGATCGATGGGAACTTGGAAATGGCTTCAAACCACTTCTCAGCACAAGGCTATGGGCAGCCTTCACTGATCCGTCCGAGTTGACACCTGAGCTAAAAACGTTATCTGCCATCCCTCTCACACAGGTCTTATACTATACCGTAAGCACCATGTACCCTCCCACCAACCCACCAAGGGGTGGAAGTGACCAAGAGGTATTTCAAGTCCTCTGAAATGATACCTAATCAAGAAGTGTTTTCCTACTGATGGAGACACACACTTAATGAAAAACAAACTTGAGTCGACTTCCTGCAGGACCTTTCTCATCTGGCAGACTCAAGCCAGCCTGTCTCCGTGTCTGATCTGAACACATAACTGATGAGCTTTCTCTCTAAACGTCACTAAAATGTTCACTGTGCAGCCAGTGGTGACCGAGTCAGGCTCTGCAGGAACGTGCCACAAATGGATCCCCATCTGCTGCCTGCATTGGCATTTGGTCACGTACGTCTGGGTTTCTAGTCTCATTTTCCCATTAAAGTGTACGGAAGGAAGCGTGTGTCCCAGTAAGAGATGGCAGGACAGAAAGAGAAAAGAGACCGTGAGTAAGTATGTACCTCACGCCACTGCCTCAACAGTAACATGTCACAGTTTCGGGAGCTCCCACCTGAGCCATAGTGGGACACGTGGTCCTTTCCACTTCAGTGTCAGTCAGTTCTGCCAGGGCTTTGGATTTTCATTTGTTTTGCAAGGACAAATCCTTCTTGTGACATAACTTACAAGACTAAATCCTTTAAATTGGCTGCAAGCAAAATCACTGGATCCTTTGGTTTAGTGGAGAACGTCTGGCCTCCAACTTTCAGAGGGAGACCATGTATGGCACGGTTCCTTGTGCGCAGAGGCTCAGACAGGTGAGCTGCCGTTCACACGGCTGCAAAGGGCAGGACTGTCTGGGCCAGGATTCGAAGCCAACCTGTCCCCCTGGGAATGAGTATTCCATACCTTCTCCAACCTAAACCTGCGAACACCTACCAACACACCCTGACGTCAGGAGGGCTGTGGCTTGACTCAACGCACCCGGCTTTATAGCACAAGAGCTTATGATCTGAGGGGCGCCTGGGTGGCTTAGTCGGTTAAGTATCTGACTTTCGCTTAGGTCATGATCTCGCTGTTCGTGGGTTCGAGCCCCGCGTCGGGCTCTGTGCTGACTGCCAGCTCAGAGCCTGGAGCCTATTTCAGAGTCTGTGTCTCCCTCTCTCTCTGACCCTCCCCTGCTCACGCCATCTCTCTCTCTCTCTCTCTCCTAGAAATAAAATTAAAAAAATTAAAAAAAAGAACTTATGGTCTGAATGACCTTGCTGAGCCATTTTAACAATCCCGACAACTGCATGGGGTTGGCGGTCGGGGGAGGTGAAATCATGTTCAGAACTGATCTTAAAGCAAGGAATCACAGGGCTGAAAGAGCATGAAAAACCCAGTAACTTAACTTCCTTGTTTTCTAGGTGAGAAAATGGCTACAGAGATTTATCGAAGTCACATGGGAAGTTGGGGCCAGACACAGGCTCAACCCTCACCTCCTAACTCCAGTTCTATTCTCTTTTGGCTACACCCCAATGGCCCAACTTAGTGAGGTAGCAAGGAAGAATAAAGGATTCCAGAAGACCTTAGCAAGGATGAGCTGGGGTTCCCTGTTCTCTGGGCATTATGATCTCCTGATGGTCTACTGCCTCCAGGAATGTGAAGGGAAATTTTTGGCAAAGCTCCCAGGGCTGTGGACAGTGAATGGGCATTACCATGAGGTCACGTGGATGTCCTTGAGGAGGCTTATAAACCTGTCCACCAGAGGCACACACAGCGGGCCCAGGATGGTGTCCCAGTTGGGCTGCATGTACTCGGAGGCACGCCTCTGGGCGTCACTCTCGCAGCAGAAATAATCAGCACACGGTGTCACGATGTACGGGATGAAATAATAATTTCCGCTAGATGCCTGGAAAAAAGAAATAAAATACGTTTCACCAAGCAATTCATGCGGGAGCCCAGCCGTGGATTCGGGCAGGTGGAAACGGCAGGCCAGGGAAGGAGAAAGTTATCGGAGAATGATTGACGGGGGGTGCGACAAGGCGACGCGTCTGTCAGGCACACAGCTGGAGACCACTCAATTCCACACTCTTGACCACAAAAATTTGGTTTCCGACGCCGGCCTGATCTGTGTCGGGCTCTGGACTTCACTGGCAGAGCTTTTAGGGTTTCAAGTCGTAGAGATGCCATCATTTCACTACGTGCCCCCCCCAGTGAGAGTGCGCTTGGGACCCACTGATGACCAAGAATTGCAATGTAAAGGCAGATACTCTTTTTTCCAGCATAGATGAAAAAGCCTCATTGCTCGATAATTTAACCACAGCTGAACTATTTTCAACTCTGTTGAGTAAAAATTGTTTTGCAGAAAGCGGATACCAAAAACTATGACGAGTCTTAGAGATATCTTGTAAAAGGACGTTAAAAAGTTCTATGTTGTCATATACTACTCAGCTAAAAGAGCATCTTTTTCTCTAAAAAATAATTACAATTTGACTATGCATCATGATCCTTTGTAAAGCATAAACATTACCTCTAAAAAGCCTTAGAAAATGCTCATTTAGCGCATGTGAGACTAAAATACATTCTTACATGACGTTCTTCTGTCACAGTCAATCTTTTGTCTACACAGTCATAAAAAGGAACCAGCTTAGGGGCACTGGGTGGCTCAGTCAGTTAAGCGTCTGATTTCGGCACAGGTCATGATCTTGTGTTTGCTGAGTTTGAGACCTGCATCAGGCTCTGTGCTGACAGCTCAGAGCCTGGACCCTGCTCTGGGTTATGTCTGTCTGTCTGTCTCTCTGCCCCTTCTCCACTCAGCACTGTCGCTCTCTCAAAAATAAATAAAAACATAAATAAATTCAAAATTTTAAAAAAGCAACTAGCTTAAAATCCTAGACTTAATTTTCATCTCTTCACTTAGTTTTAAAGTTTCATCTTTCACTTAGTTTTAAATTGCCAGAAACAATTACATCTCATTTTCGCTCCTTAATTTTGTAAACTAATGGAATTATTCAAGCATTTTAGAGTAATACAGATATAACCTTGGGAAGCACACTTTCTCCAAGTACTAGAAACCAAGTAAGCAATACAGCTTCTTCTAAATTAGAAAGAACTTCATTAATTACAGAAAAAACATGGTCAGAACACTACCATCTCAGATCAAACAGAAGCTGTGGGAAAACCTACCGCGCTGGGGAACTAATTTCAAATACCCACGTGACATACATTTTCAAGCCTTCCTTTTGAGTAAGACCTGCTTACACAAGAACAGGCAACTTTCTTATTTCTACCTGAACTCCAACTCTAACTACTTGTCCTGAGCCTCTCTCCTTCCTTTGTACCTTGTAGGGCATCTCTGAGTCCTACGTGGTCATGTTTTTAGGTCCCGAGGTATTCTAAGAAAAAAATTACTAGCGCTGCTCCATTCAAACACATCTTCGGCTGCGTCAGCAAACCTGTTCCGGAAAAGGCCAGACGGGAAGGATTCTTGATTCTGTGGGCCAGTGTCCGCTGCAGCCCCTCACCTTTGCTACTGCTGCCTGAGAGCAACTTTGGATGGCACAGAAACACGCGAGCATAACTACGTCCCAATAAAACTTTATTTATGGGCATACATCAGAATTTCGTATCCTCACATGTCCTGAAATACTCCTCACCTTTCAACATATTCCGACCACTTAAAAATGTAAAAACCCTTATCAGCTGACAGGTGACGCAAAAGCAGGTGGCAGGCCAGCCCTGTCTTACGTGAGGCTCCTTGATGCCCCATTATTCCTGAAAATAGCATTTTCTGAGAACGCTTACCCTGCTGCACAACAGCAGCTGAAGACTGTCCCCATGGGCAGCAGACAGTGGGGTTCAACCACTCAAAATACAGACACCAGTGTGTCATAAACAGAAGCGGCAAAAATCCAGGGGTGTGGTGACAACTGGGGAAGAGGGAGAAGACGACTTGAGCTCCTTGCCGGTGATCACTGGGAAGTGCCTGTACCAGGGGAACAATGACCCTTCCGTCCCTGGTTAAGATCTTCAAATTCTCAAAGAGAGCCTGGTACTGTCCAGCCAGGTCAGGCTGTGGTGGACTCCTATGTCTCCCTCATCTCTGACAAAACGCCATGCTGTTGAGGTAAACTCAAAGCCATTGACACAGTCAGAAGCTTAAACCTGTTCTTTCATCTGCAAGTGGCTGAGTTTATGGTAAAAAAAAAAAAAAAAAAAAAAGCCTCTGATTTCAGACAGAGGGAGAGGAGGGCTGTGTCGATCAGTGAGGTCTGGAAGGTAAAATATCTGTGAAGAAGCAGAGTTTTTTCCCTCAAAAGTTAGAGCTAGACAGGGAGGGGGTAGGGGACGGCAAGAAGCTTCTCAGATTATCTCCTCAGAAAAACAGCCCTAACTGGGGTGGGGGGGGGACCATTTTAAGTCTTTGTGAATTGTGTGAAAAGCATATGCCAATGGGGAAACACTTATTCTAGAAGATCAACTAATCTTGGTAAGAACAGCGAGACTCTAGCATCTGAGCTAGGATCCGCTCCCCCCCGGCCCTCCAGCCCAGCGTGACAGAAACACTACCCTGAGTGGGCACGGCAAGAAGATGGGGCTCCCTCTCGCCCCACCACCTCTACTCTGACAGTTCCTCCTTGGGAAGCCTCTGTCCCAGGCAACTGCAGTCAACAGGACCAGGGCAGGGGTAGGAGCCTGCCTCTCTCAGAACGGCCCCCTGCTTTTGAGTGGGGTACAGAGCAAGGGGGGAGGCCCCTCATCTTCCCTGGCTTATTTCACCAAGAAGAGCGGGCTCTGATCGCCTCTGTCCCAGGTCACAGAGAACAAGGACCCCACGTCAGGAAAGGCAAGCTGGGAATATGAGGGGCTGCCACCCCGCCCACTGTAAAGCAGGGGAGCGTCCTGGGAAACTCAGGCCACCACCCCCGCCCCCCGCTCCGAAGCAGTGGCACGCAGGTGCTGTTAGAAGGCAGAGGTCTGCGGCAGTGGACCGCCAGCATGGAGAACGCAGCACGGTCGAGTCCAAACTTAAGGGCACTCTCAAAACCAACGGAGATTTTTGAGGCAGGAAGTGAAGAGGAAGTTGGTAGTTCCAGGACAGCAATAGGTGACAGGCAGACCAGCTCGTTTACCGCAAAGAAACAGGGAAGAGAGAGCTGCTAAGAAGAGCCTTCATGAGGTCGGAGTAATCCTTGAAGGCAGGCCTTAAAGACCACCCCTGCAAAGGCACCCCACTTTAGTTGGGTCAGACTATGGAACACGTATGTCTCGGGCTTCGTCAAAAACACAGTCACCAGAGTATTGCTCGGCAATCTTGCCATGCGCAACTACGTGGATGGAACAAGAGGGTATTAAGCAAAGCGAAATGAGCCCATCAGAGAAAGACAAATATCATATGACTTCATTCATATGAGGAATTTAAGATACAAAACAAATGAACATAAGGGAAGGGACACAAAAATAATATAAAAAGCAAGGAGGGGAACAAAACATTAAGAGACTCTAAAATAGAGAGAACAAACAGGGTTGCTGGGGGGCTGTGGGGGGGATGGGCTAACTGGGTGAGGGGCATTAGGGAGGACACGTGTTGGGATGAGCACTGGGTGTGAGACATAGGGGATGAATCATTGGAATCTACTCCTAAAATCATTATTGCACTATATGCTAGCTAACTTGGAGGTAAAGTAAAAATAAATAATTTTTAAAAACCACAGTAATCAGCTAACAACCAGGGTGTATTCTCAATATGAGAAGAGCTTAAGGAAATCGAGGGGAGCTACAGTCAAGGAGAGCCCGGGTGCAACCACAGTGAGCCCTGGCTGGGGGCGGGGGGGTCAAAGTACCTGTGTACCTGACCAAGGCTACACCCTCCTCTGAAGAGTCACACCGCAGGGGGCACGCTGTGGGGCAAACAAACCAACAACAAAGATGAGCTCCAGAGACAGACGGAAAGAGATCGGCACCTAGAGTTGCTATAATGCATCATCTGAAATACCCAGTTTTCAACAAAAAACAAAGCGTGCCAACAAACAGGCCAACGTGATCCATACACAGGAGAAGCAGCAGGCAACAGATACTGGCTCTAGGAGACAAAGACTTGAAAGCAGATATTATAAAGATATTCTAAGAACTGAAAGAAACCATGCTGAAAAGAAAGAAAGATATGATGACAATGTCGCATCTAATAGACGTCAGTGAAGAGATAGAAATTTAAAAAAAACCAAAAAACAAAAACGAAAACAAAACAGCAAACGGAATCTCTGGAGTTCAGAAGTACAATGACCAAAATTAAAAATTCACTGAAGGGGCCCAACGGGAAATCAGAGGGGAAGAAACAATTGGCAAACTGGCAGACAGATCAACAGACGATGCGATCTGAAGAACAGAGAGAAAGAAGAATGGAGAAAAATCAACAGAGCCTCAAAAAAAAATGTGGGACACTACCCACTGAGCCAACAATATACGGCACACTACAGCGGTCCCAGAAGGCGAGCAGAGAAAGGAGCAGAAAAATATCCAAAGAAATCATTTCTGAAAACTTCATAAATGTGATTCGATCAATCTACATATCCAAGAAACTGAACGAACTTCATGTTGGATGAACTCAGAGATCCATACCCAGGTAGATCAGGCCAACATTTTCAAAGACAAAAAGAAAATCTTTTTTTAATTTATTTCTATTTTTTAATAGAATTTAGTTTATTGTCAAACTGGCTTCTATACAACACGCAGTGCTCATTCCAACAAGGGCCCTCCTCAGTGCCCATCACCCCCCTTCCCCCTCCCCCACCCCCATCAACCTTCAGTTTGTTCTCAGTATTTAAGAGTCTCTTATGGTTTGCCTCCCACCCTCTCTGTAACTTTTTTTTTTTTACCCTTTCCCCCAAAAGAAAATCTTGAAAGGTAAAA